TAATGCTAGAAAAATAAAAGAATTCATATTTATCTGGTTTTTCAAAGATTTCAAAGATCTGTACTAGAATTTAAGGAACTAAGCTTTGTAGCTGTGAGTTAATCAAATATTAATATTTATATTTCATTTGAATATCACATATTCAAACAGGAAAACAAAGACACAGAGAAAGGTGCAGGGCTTGCCAAAGTTTGTGTAGGAAGAAAATGTGAGCATGTTTAGCACCCCCATGCCTTCAGATTGCTCAGCTTTTGAAGTGCAGGTGCTCCCAGGCGTGCTTGGCACTGGGGAGCCCAGGGCTCGTCCCTCTCCATCTCCCATAGCAGGTGAAGAAAGAGTCTCACCCACACTAGGTACCCAGCTTGCCTCTTTCTGACTCCCACCTCAGTACCAAAGGTGAATCCTGCCCCATTCTGCTCCTGTGTTCCGGTACTGTCCCCAGCCCCACTCATGTGCACACTCGTCCTCCTCCAGGAGATGGTGACAGAGGTGACAGAGCTGCCACTGGCAATGTATTCCAGGGTCTTATTCAGGAAACAGTCCGATCTGTAGCTCAGCAACAATCATTTTACTGTTTGAAACCTCGGTTGGTGAATAAATGCCATTTTATTGCTGCTTAGTTTGGATGTTGAGCTGTGTTGGAGGAAACTGCTCTTCTTTCATACTGAATTTTGTTTTAGGGCGGTGTGTGTGAAAAATAACACAAATAAGAGTATTTTTGGATGACCACACTGAACAGTCAGCAAGAAGAAAAGTACAGTATGGTGCAGGGAAATCTGTTTGTAGTAAAAGCAAATGAGCTTGTGGCTTGCAATTGGGATCAAAACGTGGGTTTTCGCTTGAGTCCTAGCAGAAATGCTCCCTCTGATGCTGAGAGAATCTCGTGCTTTCCTGTCATTGCCTTCATTTCTCCCTCTGCATATTAGCAGTAATCATGACCCAGCTCTTCAGATTGCTGTTCCATCCAGAAGCTCGGCTGTTATCAGCAGTTTTGTAGAAATGCTGTTGTCATCTAAGAAACCCTCTCCCTGTTGAAGCACAGAGCGCTGTTGCTTTACCTTGCCCATCATACAGGCTTCATGGTGCTCCCTCTTTTAGCTCTGCACGATGGCTGATGCCGAGATTGAGAGCGTTGCTCGGCTAGTCTTGCGCATTATGCAGCAGATTTCCAGCAGCAACCCCAGGTTAAGGATGCAGTGCTGATATTTCATTGGGCCATAAATGTAATTCCATTTTCGAAGCACAGCTGATCTGAGGTCCTTGTGAAATAATAATAATCAGGGAGACTTCAGCTTGCCATTTCACAGGCACATTTGCAGCAGCCCCAGAATTAGTTAGATTTAATCTGCTCACCTAAACTGTGGATTCATATGAAGAAAAAAACTGTATCTAGGCAGCTAGGAACACCTATCCGAACACATTCCCCCAGCCAGCTACCGCTGATCTTTCTTAAGCTTTTTGAAAGCTTCATCAGAGTGCTCTGTATATTGACCATCTTGCTCATGAAGGGCCTCCATTTTGTTTGCTCTTCACCTTTTGCCTTTTTGAGGTGACTGGTGTTTCCAGGGCTTCTAGCAACAAGCCAACCTTGTTCTCCTGCCAGCAACAATCTGCTGCCTGTGCTCCCAGAAGCACCGATGTGCTTCTCCCATCTTGCTCTACTGAGCTGCAGCCAACAGCTCTGTACCTCTTCTGGTGCTCCTCATGAAATCCCAAACACCAGGGTGTTAACTTTTGGGCAATAAGGTATAAGAGGAACAAAGGAATGCTATGAAGATGGGGAAGGGTTTGGAGGGCAAGGTGTGTGAGAAAAAGCTGAGGTCCCATGGTGTGCTCAGCCCAGAGAAGACGAGCTGAGGGGAGGCCTGATGGCAGCTGCAGCTCCTCACAGGGAGCAGAGGGGCAGCGCTGAGCTCTGCTCTGTGTGACAGCGACAGGGAACGGCATGGAGCTGCGTCAGGAGAGGGCAGCTGGGGGTGAGGGACAGGGGCTGCACCACAAGGCACTGGGCACCGAGTGCAGAGTTTGGACAGTGCATTCAGAAATAGTGTTTGGATTTGGGCTGGTGCTTTACGGAGCCAGGAGCTAGACTTGCTGATCCTTCTGGGATTCTTCCAACTCAGGATATTCTGTGATTCTCAAACAAAATGACCACTTGAACCAGCCTTTAGCTGGGCATTTGGAGGAAATTATGCTCTTCAAATTTACTAGCAGTTTCTCTTTCTCTGAAATCATGCGAATAATTTTTCTGGCCCAAAACATTTCCACTGTTGCATTTAAATATTTTCTGATTTTCATACAAAAACAAGTCAAATGCTGAGCAGCATCGTTCCACATCTCTCCTTCTTGTACATCTACACTCCATGCAGAAGGAATTTTCAGGTTCTTGGCTATTTTTGTCAGGACTCATTTCTTCTCACTTTCCCAAGCCATCTTTTAGATTGTATGATTTTAAAATATTTGTTAATCAGAGGTTGATATGTTGAGATGACTAGATAGAGAAAAGAGCAGAAGGAGTAGTAGAAGGCAGAAGTCAGTGAGCTACGCTGTTGGAGATAAATACTTACTTGGAGATAGAACCGCATCCTGTAAGGCTGAGAGCAGTGTCAGTAGGACAGAGTTGCAGGCTGGCAAATTCTGTGCTTTTCCACTAACTAGTATGAGCAACACTTAAAAAAAACCAAAAGCATAACAGATCTTTGAATACAGTTGCACTGTAACTCTGTCTGAAGTAGGAGAAGTAAACTAAAACCCCGTAAGCAAAGTCTTAAAAAAATATTTCCAATGACAATAGTTTGAATACAACAACTGACATCACTTGAAACAGCACAGGTGCATATGGGAGGCATGTCAGAAGCAATGGAAACTCTGCATCTTCTGTGCAATTCCTCCACTTCAACAATTATGGCTTAGCATGGCTGCCTGTGCACCTCCAGCTCTCACCTTTTTGGACTCCTTCTTTTCAAGCTTTGTTAGGATTGAGTAAACAACAAATATGGAAGGAAAACAATGAACATTTTTGTTTTTTTCTTGCCTACTTGAAACAGCAAAATTAATTGCTGTTTTGGAATGAGAGGCAAGCATAACCTTTCAACTTGGGCAACATAACTGGCTTACAACCCCTTTTTGAACAAACAGAACCATGAGCACAGGCAGAAAAGACTGTAAGAGCAACAGGCAGCATTGTGAAGCATTCTGTTGTGTGTCTTTAACAGCAATATGACCCTTTTCTACTGCACGTGCACAAAGTCATGTTGAGCTTGCACAGCAAGGTTGTTCTGGCAGTGCATGTGTAACTCACCTGTGTGTGCATGCTGTGCATGCTCTTTGTGAATCGTTCTGTCAGCCCATTTGAAGTTTGCCCTGGGATTTTGCAGTTGTGCAGTCTTGGAGATCTCTGGCTTGTCAGAAAGAGCAATAAATGAAATTGGTTTGTATTGCAACAGGGTTGGTAGGAGGATCAAAGCCTTGGTATAAAATAAAAATAAAATATTTGGCTTCTACTTGCTTAAATGTTTCTATTTCTCTCATTTTTTTTTCATTAGTATTTCCATCTCAAAGTATTGAATTCTCCAGTAGTTAGCAAAATATTGTACCAACACAGTTATTAAAGAAAGGATTGCCTCTCTAGTTACTGGGAGAAGGAGAACGTGTCACTTGTATGAAGGCTCTCAGAGACTGTGTTTTTCTAAGGTTGATCAACATTTCATTTTAAGTTCACAGAGGCAGGCACCTAGACGGCATCACATACCTGATAATTCCAGCTTACCCTGAGAAGTCTGTGGTCAGCTAGAAATTTGGCAGGTTGTCTCTCAGGTCAGGAAGTAGTTCTGGTTTACCGATTTAAAAGCCAAAATCTGTTTTAGTATTTCTTAAATGTCAAAACAACCCTCTGACCTTGAAAATGACTTTCTCTGTATACTTTTTGTGCTATTAAGTGAAAAACAGGCCTTTTTCTTAGTGAAATAGTGTAGCCTGGTAGTTGTCAAATCTGAGAATTGAGGGAAGAAAAAGTGACTTTTACTCATCTATTCCTTCCCTTTGCCAACACAATGAGCATCATTCGTATCAATAGCAGCTGGGAAGGAAAAGTCTTACTAACTGCTAATGCTGCTTCCAGTTTATTTCTGTAATGTACACTCCATCTTCTGTCTGTATTATTTCAGATCTTCTAATAACAATACACAGGAGGACAAGATTTGCTGCTGTAAATCAGAAGAGACCTCTTCCTCCATTTCAGTTTGTACCCTTCTAAGTGTTACAGGAAGGAAAAGGCCGTATTTAATGCCAAATGTATACTTCTCTAGCCCAGACAGATGATTCCCGACTCTTAATATGACTATTTGCATTTAAATACGACATTTGAGCAGTCCATTTAGTTTATGTATCTCCAGTATTCTCATTTCCTATAGAGTCCTTTTGCCACTTCTGAATGTTTAGTGATTTTACTTCCTCTGAAAATGTGCCCTTCTTTCATCCTTCCTCCTTCTTTCCCTCACTTTTTGCTCACTCCTGCGGTTCTGTTACAGTGAATCACCAAACTTTCTATAGGGTGAACTCTAGTCCTTTTCTACCTCAGTTATCGGTAGTATCTGATGTGACAGCATTCTCCAACACTTTCTGCCTGAGGGGTTCCTGTGGGTAACTGTTAATGAATTAGTTCTCCTTGGGATTCCCTGAGCAGATAAATCATATTTTCACCATTTAACTGAAGAGGAAACTGAAGGACAGTTCTTGATTTGACAGAACACCTAAACACATATTTCTTTTATTATAAGGGTCATTTTTAAGAGACTTTCTGTGAAATCATTGGAAATGTCTACTTCAAGTTGTTTGCTGAAATGCATCTTTATGTGTGGTCTTTATCACAATTAATTAATTAGATAATATTGTTATGTAGAGGTGAGGAAACAGAAGTATAGCATTTACTTGAAATCATACAACCTGACTGAGTGCTGATGCTCACAGAGTTAAACAGCTTCCTTTTTCATCTTTTGTAGTTCCATTCTTCACTTTCTTCCTGGAGCTGATCATTTGAAAGATTGAACTCTTCATAGACTCTTTGGAGAAGAGATTGAATTTGGAGGTGTTAGCTTTAGCATTCTGAGGTGATGGTTATTCAGCCATTTTACAATGTAATGTTAATAATTATTGAGTACATTGAAGCATTAAAAAGTAATACCTGTCAACTTAATATAGAGTGGTACGCCAACTTAATGTAGAGTAAACACCTACTACTGGCCTGTAGTTTAATTATTTAATCTTGACCTAATCCACCATTTAAACCAATTTCAAAATGAAGTTGTTATATTGCTGGAAGTGATTGTTTGTTCCAGTCTATAGGGCTAAATTCAGAAGTGGCATGAGTAATAGGAGAGAATTACAAATTGCACACAGGTGTGAGGAAAATAAGTGACAAAAAAATATACTCTCGTATATTGCCACAGCTCTCTTTTTTCCTGCTATCACTCATCCCTGTTGGTAGCCATTTCTGCTGACCTGACTTTGCCCCACTTCCTGCCTCCAACATTCAAGTTTCAGCAATATACTGAACATCTCAGATGGAAAGTTGGTACAGACTTACACTTTCTCTGCCCTGAATTCACATTTGCATCCATCCCGTGATCTGGTGTAGAGGTGATATCACAGTGGGTTCCACTGGACATTTTCAGTCAGTTTACTTGACCTTGTCTGAGTGAGGGCCACAAGATGCCAGAGCACTTCTAGTGACCTCAGTGGAATTGCTACTGAATCACTGTGATGTAAATATGAGCAGATCTCAAGTCAACAGCCCTCAGTGATGAAATGTTTCCAGCATCTTGTTTCAGGAAAAATAGTGAGCCCCTTTGAAGAGAAATACCTCCCTCTTTTTTTTCCCCTCTCTCTCTGAATGCCTCCACAAGACAACGTGGGGGAGAGGAGGAGAAGAGCAAATATTCAACAGGAAATTTTTCATTTTTCTTCAGTCTTTTTGAGAAAAACTTCCCCCTCAATTAAAGCCCTCAAAGACAGAGCCTGGAGACCTAACTGCTGGCTTGAAAAAATAAGAAGGAAGGGAAGATGCCTGGTCTTGTACCAGGCATTCAGCACAGTACCTGTAGTACTGTGGTGTGATGCTGAAAGCTGTAGGGGACCTAGAGCAAAGTGTTACAGATGCAGCAAAAACTCTCATGAAGACGAGCCTCTTAGCAGTGACTTGAGCTGGTCTGCCATGACTCAGGAAATCCCCCTGGCTAGATGCGGCCTTTTCATCCACTACATCGCTCTGACTCAAACAGAAATCTCATCTAACCTCCCTGACCAGAATTTGAGCATACACCCAGGGTACAATGTAAGATTTTGCAATTTCCTTATTTCTGGTTAGTTACTGCCCACCTCCCACTCTGAAGAAGCCTGTCCTACCTTCCTTTGCTGTTCCATTGCTCTTAGCATGCAAGGACCAATCCTGCCAACACGAGGCACATCCTCCCCCATCCTGTTTCCTGCCGTCCTTCCGTTGTGGTCACATCCCCAGCTGATGTAAACTGGCATAGGGCCACTGACTTGAATATTTTCCCTGGTGGAACACTTGGCCCTTTGATTCTCGTAGAACTTCTCGTTTTTAGTGGCACCACAACTGGCACTACTTGTTTACATGCTTGGGACCATCTACAAGCAAATGCTTGCGTATTAATTACAACAAAGAGCAAATCTACTTGACATTTGATTTTGTTTTTCTTGTTTCCTTGCAAGCTTGAAAATGAGCTGCTTTTGGCAAAATAAGTAAATAAATAAATAAAAAAAATGCATTTCACACTTTTTTTTTTTTTTTTACTTGAAATAGGCCCCTTGAAAAATCTGACATGTTAAACACCACCAAGAAAATGATTATTTGGACATATGGCTCTTCTTCCTGAACTTTGCAGAGAGGTTAGATAACGCTTTTTCACATCTTAAAAGACTACACTCCTGCTACAGCACTAACATATTCTTATGTAATAATCCAGCACTGACAATGTTTTATCCAGTCCCAGTAATATAAGGCTCATTTCTGGTTTGGACAGGTATGACGGACTGGGTTTTTCACAAATTATCTTTGTTTTGCTTTTTTTTGCTTACTCTCTCCTAAAGTAGAGTATAGGATAGAGTAAATCACACATAGAAATACTTAGTGGCTGTCTTTTAATAGGGTCTTGCGTTTTTGTATTGCTTGTATTAAACATTGCTCATTCAGTGCAAAAGTAAAAATAAATTTAAAGCCTCCACCCTTACACACAGACAGACCCATCCAAACCCATCCAATTTCTTTTCAGAAAAGCTGTTTGATAAAGCTTCAAAAATTACAAGAATCAAAGAAAAGTGCTAAACTACCTGAAACAGTGAAGTTTCACAGGAGAACTATGATCTTTGCCACAACTGATGTTAGCATTCATGTACAGGCTTCAGTCATTTGCAGAATGCATGGACATACAGGAAAACTGTCCAGGAAACAGCAGTTCCTCACAGCGAAAACATCTGAAGTTTTGGAGTGTGCTTTTGTCTTGGCACAGGAACTTCTTCATAAAGAATTTTCAAAACTCTTTGAAAACTCAGGAGAGCCAATGGCTCAGCTGCCAACAGCTGCTCCCCGTGTGGGTGAGACCCATCCAGGTTTCATATCACAGCCTCAACCACCGGGCTCTGCGGTCACTCTCTTTCTCCTTGCCGGAGCCAGAGTTTCCATCTTGGACTTTAGAAACTTCTCTAATAATATTTGCATTGAAGTGCATTAGATAGCTTTAGATTCTTTCACTTGTAAGCAGAAACTCTTGGTCAGAAGCTGTCCCGTGCAAGAACTAGTTCCTTTAAAACCACTTTGTTTAGTGACAGTGGGTTGGAAAAACTTATACATGCTCACTCCTTAAGTCATAAAATAGGAGTAAGCATTGACATTGTCTGGGCCTAGACTGGACTCCCTTCCTGCATGGGGCAGGGACCCTAATTCTGCTGCCCTGAGTGTACAGCTGCTTTCTGTTGCGCACAGGGTGCTCAGCTGGATGGAGACATGGTTTAATCTGATATGACAGCTCCTACATTTTTATCTTTTCAGTGCTTTACTTACATGAATTAATTCTGAAAGCACTCTTGTGACGTTACTCATTGTTACGATTCCCATTTTAGAGACCCTGTGTCTAATTCTTAATTATATTAATTCTTCCCTATGCTGGTGAGGTTCCAGATCTGTGAAAGGGTCTCCCAACTCAGGGAAATGGATTGCAGAAGTGTCAAGGGCAAAATGAGAGTTCGTTGCCCTATAGCAATTCTCTGTTTCTCTAAGGTCAGAGAGAAATATCAGAAGAAGAATATAAAAGAGGCTCTGTTGATTTGTGCTACAGGCTATACAGGAGTGTGAATAGCTCAAGCCCATAAGAGGTGTTGTACTGGCCAAAATGACATTACTGAGATTTCTGGCACACTTTGTTCAGTGTGGCCACAACCTCATCAAAATAAAGTGAAAGTTGCATCTATGGCCCCTTCTTTTCTTTTTATTAGAGCATGTTATCAGAGCATTGACACACACACACACACACCCTAGTAAAAACAGAAGGGGAAGCAGTGAGCTGAAAGGAAGGGGAAGAGTTTGAGACCTACCCAAGAAGGCAAGCCATTTCAAAGTAGGCATGGTGTGCTGAAACCAGGAGGATTGTTTATAAAACTAACAATAAACTGTGTTCCAAGATAATTTGGAGCAAACAGGCAGGAAAAATGAGTGATGAACTACTCTTCATTTCTTCCTGAACTGGTTTTGTTCCAGTCACCTTGCAAGCAGCAGCTGTCAGTGGTGAGAAGGAGATGGCAGTCAGCCCTATTAGGGTCTTCTTTTCTCGTATCCCCAGGATATGATGGACAATCCTCTCTGCTACACAAAAGAGACAGAACACTATACTCTCCTCTAACACTTTGGCTCCCTCCTTCTCTCATATCGAAGTCTAAGAAAGAAAATCATATACACAGAGTAGGGACCTTTGCAGCTGGGAATGTGTTCCAGAAACACATAGGGATTGGGGAGAGAGCATGTAGGAAGTCATGTCAAGGCAGAGCTGGTTGAGAGGAAATGTTGGGTATGTTTTCAGAAAAAAAACTGATTGTTGGACACAAAAGTCAGTCAGAATGAGATCAGTATTCCCCTACTGAAGTTGCATTTGTTGGCAATATTGATTTCATTCTGTTGTTCTGAGAGAGAGCAAGAAAAGTTATAAAACGAAGGACTAGTGTAGTTTTAGAAATCAGTCTTGTGACTTCGGTGGGATTCTCATAATTTTGGCATGCTGAGGCTGTCCTAAGACTGCTAACAATACTATTGTTCTTACAAAGTTTTTGTCCTGTATGAGGAATAGAAAAATAATTAATATTTCTACTCAGCACTGAGCCTATTGAAAAGCCTTCCTGTCATCCTACGTAAGTATGAGAGAAAATTAAGCCACCTGGCACCCCGAAATTCTCCTCTCAGAAAATCACAAAATAGAATATGATCAAACAGAACAACATAGAGTGAATTGAATATAACACACAGTGCTTTTGATTTTGCAGCAGAGATACAGTCTGGTAACAGCATGCATGACAGAGGATGGTAGAGTGAGATAGAGAGCTAATGTCTTCGTTGTTTAAAAGCTTTCTGAGGCCTCACAATAAACATCCATAGAATGATACAGAAAACATGTTTCCTGCAAAAGCCACCTCTTTATTTATCTGCTTTTTAAGCAGTGACGGGTTTTCCTTCATTCATTAAGAAAATGAATGTATTCCTTTCCAGCTTGTTGTAGCTGAAGAAAGGTGAGAGGGACTCTTGCTCTTCTCCTGCCTCCTTAGATGTTTTATGGAGCTACCCTAAGCTGCACTGTTGCTTTTCCAGTGAAGGCAGATTGCACTGGTGCCTGTCAGAGCATGGTTCACTTTTCAGCGTCTTACTGCTGGTGGTAATGTGCAAAAAAGAACAACAATGTCTCTCTCAGCCCAGTTTGCAGTATTTTAATTTCTCGTTCCACAAAGTAGAGCATTATATTTGTTTCGTCTAGAAGATAAAACATATGGAGCATTGATGTTCCCCTTACACTTCCTTCTTGTCATCAACTCTCTGAAGGGAAGTGCCTTGGGAGCTGCCTGGTGTCAGTGCTAGGTGCTTTAGGAACCTGTCCTGGACATTTGGCAGAGTTTTAATACACAACTCTGGTCATTAACACAACAGGGAATAGGCTTGCATTTTTTTCCCTGAAAAACCAAATTGCATACAAAACAGAAACGAATGCTGCAAAGCAGGGCAGCTTTCTTACCTTAGCATACAAAGCTACCTAACATGCATGGGGGTATGTGTTAGCAATGACTGCATATCCAGAAGATCTTCCCATGAGCAAGGATGAGACTTCTGTAACAAGTGGACTTTTCAGTCTTTTTTTTCTGATTTCTATTGTATGGGTTGATAATCGTGTATTCACCCTCTGCAACATGCTGTGCTGGTTTACATCTCTAAACAAAACGAAGAGACTCACAGATGCTTGTGGGGATAAGCCAATAAAACTAAAGGAATATATTTAAGCAACTCATCCTGAGATTACATAGTTACACCCTCTTTTCAGGTAGATGGAGCTCTTCACTATCCTTCATTACAGAGCACTTCATTCTCTGCAGAGCCAAATTCTCCTCTGTGCCACCCGGATCTCTTGATTTCCCATTAACGTCAGCTCATGTCAGCTGAGTTGCACAGCGGAGTGTTTCGTATACATTAAGGGAATGAGGGCTGTGTCATTTCCAGGTCCTTCCCTGTCTGCTGCTGTTCTGTGTCCTCCTTTTGGCTGCCGTTGTGTAATACAAGTAGAAGTCAGAAAGCGAGGAGCTGTTCTGGTGGCTTTGCCTTTCATAAATCCTGCCATTTGCCAGTGGCAAATGCATTTTACAGTTCTCATATTTAAACATCTATTCCAATTCTATTGCCACATTGCCTTCCTACAGGCTGAGTATCGTGCAGGAGAGACTGAAAGCTTGCTGCAGCACTGATTGCCTTTCCCAAAGGAAACAGCAAACTTTATTCAACTGGTCGGATCAAGCTTTCAGTTCTCACTTATTTGGTGGAACCTTCTTGATGTATGCAGTGATTTTTATGAAAGGTGGGTAAGCTAGGGGGTGCAATGCAAAGAAAGAAATCATCATCATAGACATTTATGTAAAACTATGATGAAATCTCAGGAGGGGAAGATGTTGTGCATTTCTGGAGCTACTCTTGGCCTTTTGCATTTAGATTCCAGATCTGTGCTTGAAATGCTGGCAGAAATAAGGAGGTCTTTGACTACTTTGACTGTAGTTTCTGGTAGGAGGGAACCTTCTAAGAGAAGAACTTAGCAGCAGCACTTTCTACATTAAATGCTACAGGAGATTTGGGGATCAGAGTACCAGGAAGACATGCTAATAAAATATGTGCCACGTAGTAGAAACTCACCTGGGTGAAATGCTGCTCCTTCTGATATCAATGGAAATTTCCTTTTGACCAGGGGTTGCTATGGCAGCAAGCACTGGAAATGAGAACAAGGACATTTTGATATGTCTACACTGTGGATTGCAAATTATGATACCCGAATTAGTTTTAAACAGTCTTGCAAGAAGTGGTCTAGTTAAGGCAGCCTGGAACGTCACATGGCCTCATTTACCACTAAGCAGCATGCTGTGCCGCACTCAGTGTCCAACCTGCCTGGGGCAGAGGAGAGGCAAAGAGGTATTTGAGGGAACTCTCATTCTTGTGCAATGGGATGAGGAACAGATTGTGACAAGGAGCAGTGTAGGAAAGAAGAAAACAGCAGGAACGTAAGTCCAGGGAGTCACCTGGATGGAGGGAATGGAAGCAAGATGGCAGCGTTAGAAGTACCAGTACTCTTCCCTCAGTTCCATGGCGTTCAGTGTAGGGCTGCTGAATCTCAGCATTTCCATTGTCAGGCAAGTATTCTCCGAACCATGGAGGAAGTGTC